TACTACTCTCCACTGTAGTAGTAGTAGTTTCTAATACTACTCTCCACTGTAGTAGTAGTAGTAGTTTCTAACACTACTCTCCACAATAGTAGTAGTAGTTTCTAATACTACTCTCCACTGTAGTAGTAGTAGTTTCTAATACTACTCTCCACTGTAATAGTAGTAGTTTCTAATACTACTCTCTACTGTAGTAGTAGTATTTTCTAACACTACTCTCCACTGTAGTAGTAGTAGTTTCTAATACTACTCTCCACTGTAGTAGTAGTAGTTTCTAATACTACTCTCCACTGTAGTAGTAGTAGTTTCTAATACTACTCTCCACTGTAATAGTAGTAGTTTCTAATACTACTCTCCACTGTAGTAGTAGTAGTTTCTAACACTACTCTCCACTGTAATAGTAGTAGTTTCTAATACTGCTCTCTACTGTAGTAGTAGTAGTTTCTAATACTACTCTCCACTGTAATAGTAGTAGTTTCTAATACTACTCTCCACTGTAGTAGTAGTAGTAGTTTCTAACACTACTCTCCACAATAGTAGTAGTAGTTTCTAATACTACTCTCCATTGTAATAGTAGTAGTAGTTTCTAATACTACTCTCCACTGTAGTAGTAGTAGTTTCTAATACTACTCTCCACTGTAGTAGTAGTAGTTTCTAATACTACTCTCCACTGTAGTAGTAGTAGTTTCTAACACTACTCTCCACTGTAGTAGTAGTAGTTTCTAATACTACTCTCCACTGTAATAGTAGTAGTTTCTAATACTACTCTCTACTGTAGTAGTAGTATTTAACACTACTCTCCACTGTAATAGTACAGTTACAATGTAGTTACAGTTCTACAGCCTCCCCACATGAACCCTCGCACTAGGTACCTCATGAGACGAGGCAAGTGTAACTATGTATGTGAGTGAGTGTATGTGCAAACTTTGATGTTGAGCTCTAGTGTGAACTGTACACTGTAGTGAGAACTAGGTCATGTGTGGAATGTACAAATAGTTGTTAAATACACTGAGAAATATACGGCCATTGAATGTATAAAATTATAAATTGACACTGGACAGTTAGTGTACAGTATTTCTGTCCGCATGAATTTATGAACGAGCAAAGAATCGTTGTGTAGACTTTATCGGTATTAACTTGAGCGTTTTTTATACTAAAGTCCATTGTTGCTTAGGGATATTGCCCAAACAAAAAAGGATTGGGGTCATAAATCTGAGTTCATCAAACTAAAAATTGGAAAACTTAAAGTTTATCCTCGTAAGTTACTCATTTAACGGCATTAACTTGAGCGTTTCTGACACTAAAGCACGTTGTTGCTTAGGAATATTGATCGTTGTCATAAATCTGGGTCATTTTGGGTGCATTATCTCTAGTTTTCATCGGAATTATACTTTAAAAGAATGATCAAAGTATTATATATCCAAAGAATGAAAAAGGTCCTTGTTGCTTAGGAACATTGCCCAAACAAAAAAGGATCGGTGTCAAGAATCTGAGTCCATCACCAAAAATTTTAAAAATTTTAAGTTGCTGACTTACAGCATTTGATCTGGTTGCTGTCACGTACCAAAAGAAATATCGATCACCTGCGCATTCAATGAAACATAATACACAATGAAACTAATTGACACATCTCTCAAAGTTCGTACAATGTTATTTATTTTAACATCACGATTAGGAACCGACCGGATTGGGGTTTTGGCTGCCGGACCGGATTCAGCCGGATTTGGATCTCAAATCCGGCAAGCCGGATTTTGCCGGACCGGAACCGGTGGTTTCAGAGTGAAATAAAAGGCAGCCGGATTTTGCCGGATTTTGCCGGATGTTGCCGGAAAATTTCCTTCCTTTCCACGCCTAATCTTCATCGAGCACTTCTTGCAGCTTGCATAAGGGATCCCATTTTCTTTTGAGTAGAACAACCAGACGGACGATGTTTTAGATTTACTACTACTCGACTCGACTTAGGGCGGCTTCAACGTCCGAACAGATATAGTTTTTTTACAAATCTTCCTATCTACTACTAGACATTGCTTAAACAAGCAGTACGTAGCAGACACAATGTAACACGAGTAGACACGAGTCACGACACTAGACGAGTAATAATCAGAAATGATATCTAATTGGCATATGCTGCCAGACCCCTGATTGAGCGCGTTTGTGCGAATTCCCTTTTTTCATGCAAGTCTGAGTATCATTGGGTCACGTGACTTACAACCAGAGGTGCTTAATAAGGTTGTTCGTAAGCAGTAGTACAGTACTAATCACCGTCTGGCGTCTAGAGCTGAGTCACATGATTGCAGTAATGAGCTAATTAAGTAGCTACCCAGACCCTGAACACGTGACCTTCATATTTCGTATTTCATAATCAGAAGATTAAATACTGCCAATTTTGCGATTATAGCCGGGGGCTAGCCCAGGGAGGTGGCCCAAAATATTTTCCGGTTTTTTCTAAGTCCGCACCTACCCCTCGATACACTATTCTGTATTCTGGACTCAAGGTTTCCCCCGGTAATGCGATCTCGAAAGGCAGGCCTCCCCTTTGCAATACGAGCTCGGAAGCGGGAGCTCTCAATACAGGAGGTACGACTCGAGAACGACTCGGACCGAAAAACTTCTAAGTCAAAATTTTTCAAAGTTTTTCTGAAAACCACTTTTTTCCACGATTCAGGCTACCCTGTTCATTATTAGCCGAAAATATTTTTTCGGTTTTTCCAAGTCCGCACCTACCCATCGATACACAATTCTGGACTCGAGGTTTCCCCCGGTAATGTGATCTCGAAAGGCAGGCCTCCCCTTTGCAATACGAGCTCGGAAGCGGGAGCTCTCGATACAGGAGGTACGACTCGAGAACGACTCGGACCGAAAAACTTCTAAGTCAAAATTTTTCAAAGTTTTTCTGAAAACCACTTTTTTCCACGATTCAGGCTACCCTGTTCATTATTAGCCGAAAATATTTTTTCGGTTTTTCCAAGTCCGCACCTACCCATCGATACACAATTCTGGACTCGAGGTTTCCCCCGGTAATGCGATCTCGAAAGGCAGGCCTCCCCTTTGCAATACGAGCTCGGAAGCGGGAGCTCTCAATACAGGAGGTACGACTCGAGAACGACTCGGACCGAAAAACTTCTAAGTCAAAATTTTTCAAAGTTTTTCTGAAAACCACTTTTTTCCACGATTCAGGCTACCCTGTTCATTATTAGCCGAAAATATTTTTTCGGTTTTTCCAAGTCCGCACCTACCCATCGATACACAATTCTGGACTCGAGGTTTCCCCCGGTAATGCGATCTCGAAAGGCAGGCCTCCCCTTTGCAATACGAGCTCGGAAGCGGGAGCTCTCAATACAGGAGGTACGACTCGAGAACGACTCGGACCGAAAAACTTCTAAGTCAAAATTTTTCAAAGTTTTTCTGAAAACCACTTTTTTCCACGATTCAGGCTACCCTGTTCATTATTAGCCGAAAATATTTTTTCGGTTTTTCCAAGTCCGCACCTACCCATCGATACACAATTCTGGACTCGAGGTTTCCCCCGGTAATGTGATCTCGAAAGGCAGGCCTCCCCTTTGCAATACGAGCTCGGAAGCGGGAGCTCTCGATACAGGAGGTACGACTCGGGAACGACTCGGACCGAAAAACTTCTAAGTCAAAATTTTTCAAAGTTTTTCTGAAAACCACTTTTTTCCACGATTCAGGCTACCCTGTTCATTATTAGCCGAAAATATTTTTTCGGTTTTTCCAAGTCCGCACCTACCCATCGATACACAATTCTGGACTCGAGGTTTCCCCCGGTAATGTGATCTCGAAAGGCAGGCCTCCCCTTTGCAATACGAGCTCGGAAGCGGGAGCTCTCGATACAGGAGGTACGTCTCGAGAACGACTCGGACCGAAAAAGGTTCTAAGTCAAAATTTTTCAAAGTTTTTCTGAAAACCACTTTTTTTCCACGATTCAGGCTACCCTGTTCATTATTAGCCGAAAATATTTTTTCGGTTTTTCAAAGTCCGCACCTACCCATCGATACACAATTCTGGACTCGAGGTTTCCCCCGGTAATGTGATCTCGAAAGGCAGGCCTCCCCTTTGCAATACGAGCTCGGAAGCGGGAGCTCTCGATACAGGAGGTACGTCTCGAGAACGACTCGGACCGAAAAACTTCTAAGTCAAATTTTTTTTTCTGAAAACCACTTTTTTTCCACGATTCAGGTTACCCTGTTCATTATTAGCCGAAAATATTTTTTTGATTTTTTTTCGGTAAAAAAAACTGAAATCCGGCAAAAATCCGGCAAATTTTTTTCCAGCCGGAGCCGGAACCGGAACCGGATTTTGAAGCCGGATATCCGGCCGGAACCGGATTCAGCCGGATTTCCGGTCGGTTCCTAATCACGATCACTCTGCTGTCTGTTGCTTGCTTTAAATAAAACATCATTACAGACGCACTAAAACAATATTAGCCACTCAAGTATTTTACATTGCATGTTGATCCAGAGATACAAATTTTATTGATTCTGTAGCAATGAACGGGAGTGGACTTCACTATATATGAACTTCCAATTTGTAGTCATGGGAGATATCATAACACTTCGCCCTCATAGCTTATATATTAGGGTTCATTCATAATATGTATACTTGTATATTCATTTTTGGTCAATAATCTCTAGTTTTCACCGGAATTATACTTCAAAAGAATAAAAGAATAAGAAAAAGAGATCAAGCAATAGGCCACTTTATCGATCCTCATACGCGATCAACACCTGCATAACATTCTATTTCCCGCAGTGATATTTTGTGTCACATTGTGTCACGATTATGTGATCCCTATTTTTATCTTAAAATGAGCAACTTTATAAATTTGTGATGACGCTGTTGTTCATGTTAAAATGAAGTGACAGAGGAATTTAATTCTCCCTTTGAATCAATCTAGATGATTTGTTGTAAATACTGAGATCAAACTATCAATTTACAGGCTATCGTCAAACATGTTACAAGGCGTCATCTTCAGTGACATAAGCCTCAAATTATTTGTTATATAGTAGCGTTGAAAGTATTAAAACTCTTAAAATGAAGTGACTCAACATATTGAACTTGACTTGCAACTTCAGTGGGATCAGAAAATAGTTAACATTAGATATAACTCATGATTATTTAATGTACACTGTTTATAACATTGTTGGATATAATGCAACATAAAAACAATCCTCATATCCCAACAAAACACTCACCAGTGTCCTACATCACATCACTCTCTCATCCTCTCTAGTTCTCTCTCTCTCTCTCGAGTAAGAACAGATAAGGTGGTTACCATAGCTACCAATCTGGAAACCAGACACTCCTGCGTTCAGATTAAACATAAATTCTCTCTCTCTCTCCACAACGTGATATAAATACTAACGTGACACGAGCACAGGAGTTAGTTTTCTGGGTCGGCATGCTAGTGAAAAATTAAGCACATGATTTAATTAAGTATTGTTAGCTAAATTTCAGGATACGCGTTGGCATATGTTTGAAAGAAATTTAGCTGCCCGCGCTACCTTCGATATAGGTGGACATTGATGTGTTGCAAAGGATGGATTAACTTAACTCTCCCGACCAATGAAATCATCGCAATCACCCCACGTGACGCTCTCATTTTTTATTAAAAGTATTTTAATCAAATGATTGAATGGTGGATTGTTTAATTTTTTGCAGGGGCCTCTACTCTCTAGGCCAACAGTGGTCCGAGCCTTAAGGTCGGTGGTACAATGACTTATATTAATATACAATGGTTTATATTTACATGTCACCCTGGTAACACTCAATCAAACCCACCTTACGTTCTCAATCATTTTTCCGAAACATTTTATGTTGAAGTAATAAGTCGTTCCGAGAGCGTTCTCCTAAATATAAGTAATAACTCGTTATTACCGTGCCCCTCAAACCCTTAAAACATAATCGATTGGACCTTGCATTATGTCTGAAACATATAATCCCGATAATACCATTAACGATTCCGATTTGAGATAATCACGACCGGGGACTACGGACCTTATATATTCACAGACACTCCTCGACTGTGGCCTCCCCCCACACACTGCATTGTGATAGACGTGACTTTTTAGCTGTGGTACAAGTAAATTTGAATGGTATGACGGCACGTGCGGAAGAGTATTTGATCAGTTGAATCATCCTCGAAAATTAGGTTTCTCAGGGTGTTTGATCCGCGGAACATTAGTTAAACTAGTTGTAAGGTAGCTACAAAAAATGCAGAACGCATTCTGTGATAGGATGACCGCACAATTTTTGTACTCCTCTCAAATAATTTGAGACTTTATGTTAATTTACGTGCTATAAATAGTTTAAAAACTTGCTAAAAATATCCTGCAATAAATAAATCATTGATATTCGGGCCGCACCTTTGATCTTGTTAAGGATAATATCCGCGATATCACACCAATTTCACCCTTGCACGCGGAGTAAAAACATGTGCCCACCAGGCCAGGGTCCAGGGTGCAGAACGAATAATCTGCTGCTACAAATAAGGAAACAATCGGACCATCCTACCTGATATCTATTAGGTCCTGTAACAAATGGTGAAACAGTCGTACCCTCCCACACAAAGCACATTCATCACTGGGTATCTGCGGTTATAATCTGGGATCTGGTGTAACAAATGTGGGAATAATCTGGGATATAGTGTAACAAATAAGGAAACAATCGGAAAGATGTCCGATTGTTTCCTTAAGATTCTTACCATGGCACATGCCATTCAGTCCTGGGTATCTGTAGGTGGTATTGGGTGCTTAAGCATACTTATTCACTTAGCAGTTTTAGAAGTAAGTGTGAGATACTAACGAGTTTTTAACGTGAGGGTAGTGAGAAGTGTGAAAAAGTAATCTGGATTTAATAACTGATGAAAATACACCGCGACTCGTTGACCGGTTTAATGTGTTTCGTGATTTAAGGTTGGATCTCGTATATAATAATGATCTGAAATGTAATGCCATTTTTATTCGAGATGGCAGCCCATTTCCTGAAATAAGGGACTCAGTATTTCAGTATTGTTAGCTCGGATAAAATGGAAGATTTTGAGACTTTCCTGCAAAATATACAGGTTGTTTCAAAAGTCTGGTAAATAGATATGAAGCTGTAAGAGCTAGGGTGTTTGGTAGATTGCTCAATATTTCTTCCCGGAATGGGATAATGACAATTTCTCTCCCTGACGCTGACTTTCAACCCGGATTCAAATTAAAAAATGCACTAAAACTTGCCATCTTTTTGTCCATATCCATAGTTACTCAGTTTACAGTTACCTCATAAAGAATCTAAATTCTCCGGCTGCATTTGCGTACCTCTTTAAAACAGCGTGACTTTTTCAGCTACTTTTTCAGCTACTTTTTCAGCTAACAAATAATCCAGCTCCTTAAAGCTCTATTTTTCCGGACAGAACTATGTAAAAACTCAGCTCCCAGCTCACAACAGATATGTCCCAGCCGTGTACACCAGGAAACACATGTAAAATACACACCTTTCTGACCACATGACCTCCCCACGTGACATTCACCCAGCTCTTTCCTGCTTCGATTTGCTGGGCTGTTCTCTGCCCTGGTTGGCTGATCACTATCATGTGAGAGCTCTGAGAGCTTTCTATTGGCTGATCGGTCACAAGTGTTTGTACATTGATTCGCAGGTTTAAAAACAATGTAATTATCCTATGGGTGGTCTCGTGGTGTTGCTAAGGTAGCCCTTGGTAACGAGGATGTGTTGCTATGGTTACGACTAGATTTGTTAACAACGGTGTCAGCCAATGAACTGTTTCCTCCTTTCGTCTAGCCCCTACTTTCTAAGTCAAGTACACTACATTTAATTGAAATGTCCATCTTAACCGAGCATCTCAAATTTTCATTTTAATTAGACCTCAAATTTCCAAATCTGAGATGATTTGCTGATAACGATTTTAATTAACTTCCCACGAGCAGGTAAAAAGAACCTGTTATACTCACGGATGATCATACTTCATTTGTTATTATCTTTTCTTGGGAAGATCCATGAAGTAGAACCCCACCTTGTAGCCGAGCAGATAGCACTAGATTCAATAAATCTGCAGCCAAAACATGAACCAAACCAATTCTAACACAGCATCAGGTCCTTCCAATAATGATTCGCCACGCGTGCCTCCAATCCCAGCCCCAGTAATTCCTAATAGACCTAATTGGAACGTTCCCCCAGCTCGTGCAGAGCTGTTATGTTAGGTTGTTAGGTGAATATAACCAGAATATAAATAGAAGCCAGAAAAAAAGTTGTAGTAACTCCCCCTCGAGCTGGTTTTGGACATTACCCCGGTCATCGACATTTGGTTTATCAGATATAGGACCGTCGTCAGGGCAACCGCATTGATAAAGATAATTAAATTCATGTGAGTTTTCATTTATACAATGTGTGACAACCCACCTACAGATATAAAGTTTGTGACGAGCTGTGAACAGGGGAGGGGGGGGGGGGTGATCTTGAGAGTGAGATTTAGTCGGATAGAATGGGGGGGGGGGGGGGGGGAGATCTTGAGAGTGAGATTTAGTCGGATAGACTAGGGACTCTAAATAGGGAATCTAAATGATCATCTGTGGTGTTTTTATAATCTTATCACGTGACTTTATCTGCTGTCTCTGGATTATTTTCTAGCCTGAAGAAGACCTCTTGAAGTATGATGCATCTCGCGGAAAAAATAATATTATAGGAGTTTCAATTTGTTCAGCCTAATCTTGTTGAGGGACCAGTTACCGCATCTTTAGACTTATTAAAAGGATCTTTTGACATATTAAAAGGAAAAATATGTGGATTGAAAAAGGATAAATAATCGATGAATCTCACTTTAAACAAGACTAGACGACCGTACGGTAATCCAAACGATTATAAACTTTCTGTATACCCTCACTTACAATTCACCTACAATTACTATGTGGTTGTTTTTTCAAAAACCTGACAAATTTTTCCTGGAAATCTATCTTATTTTTGAAAGATAGATGGGTCTAAATCCTCCAGATATTTTAATTAGGACACCATATCGTCCCCTGATCCATAATTCCAGGCTGACTGGCTCAAATTATATCCAGATATTTCACTCTGTGAGTCAGCCCCGGTGTAATGTAACGGTGTAAGGATCTTAATCTCATATTTACCAAATTATTTTTGGATGGTATCGAAATATTTGTCGGCATGACTTATGACAGTTAAATCATTTTAATCAATTGTAAACGATTACAGCTAGCCCTACTGTCGTGATCATAGTACTTGGTAGGTCGACCGGTGAGACCGATTATCGTGGAAATTGTTGTCTGATAATGAATACTGTACTAGTTATCAGAAAATATTTTGGGATATAGTAGTACACTAATATCCGAATAGATTTTAAACTAATGATGTCTTTGAATTGACTGTCATGTAATAAATGGATTGGCTAGAAAACACGTAATTTCGCTGTATCCCGTATCAGAATGTTACCGTCCACCGTTAATGATCGATAATAGCAGTTAATCTCATCAATCGGTTACAAATTCAATCAAACTCCGTGAAGTCTGTTTTGTTGGTTTAAAGCACCTGAATTTCAGTTAAATTGTCAACATGGTAATATTGCTGCTCGGAGAAAAAATAGAGGAAGTTTAAAGAAACGATCTATATTAAGATGAATAAAATCATATTATGCTAAAATCAAACTTAACGAGTAAAATAATAAACATCGTGTTTCTTATTTAGAATAAATAACCGGAAATTTCTCAGGCCAGAAATTTAATGAAGCTTTGAAAACCAGTCACATACATGCTCTTTAATCCAGGTTTGAAACACATACACCCGTTACACTGTCAAGTGTCATGTGAGTGTGACAGGTGACGAAGACCTCTTGAAGTATGATGCATCTCGCGGAAAAAATAATATTATAGGAGTTTCAATTTGTTCAGCCTAATCTTGTTGAGGGACCAGTTACCGGATCTTTTGACATATTAAAAGGAAAAACTCCTGAAAATATGTGAATTGAAAAAGGATAAATAATCGATGAATCTCACTTTAAACAAGACTAGACGACCG